CAAAATTTGGCTGAGCACAGTGGCTCATGCCTGTATTCACACCTATAAACTTTGGAAGGCTGAGGTAGGTGGATCATTTGAGGTCAGGAGTTCGAGACTGGCCTGGCCAACATGGCGAAACCTTGTCTCTACCAAAAATACAAAAATTAGCTGGGCCTGGTGGCACATGCCTGCAATTAATCCCAGCTACTTGGGAGGCTGAGGTAGGAGAATCACTTCAACCTGGGAGGTGGAGGTTGCAGTGAGCTGAGATCGTGCCACTGCTCTCCAGCCTGGACAACAGAGTGAGACTCAGTCGAAAAACAAAAACAAAACCAAAAAAACCCATACAAAATCTGACACTATCATCCACATTTTAATGTTGGGAAACTGAGGCCCAGAGAGGTGAGTTGACTTGCTCAAGGTAAAACAGAAAGTGCAGAGATGGCTTCTGATGTAATCCAAAACTTTTATTTATTTTTTAGTGAAACCTTCTTTTCTTTATCAAGATGTAAACCACATAGGGTGGGAGTGTTTGAGCCCTCTGCAAGGACGTAAGAACTCAGGAGTGTGCAAGGACCTCCTTTTTAGTCATACGGAGTCTGAATTTAAGGAAAAACTCACTCAACTCAGCCAGGTGTTTGGCCCTGAGCCATAACAGGTGTGTGGCAGTCCCTTTTATGGCCACATGAGGTCAGCATTGAGTCACCCACTGGCCCCAGTACCAGAGCTTGCACTCTTGACAGGAATCCTTTCCAACACTCCAGAAATGGGGAGAGGGACCATTGCAGTGTTATCTGAAAGGGTGACTTGGGGACTTTGACTTAGGCCACAGCATAGTTAGGGGCCTGACCTCGCCTCCTCAGCTCCAGTCTTCTCTGAGGCTGGGCCTCTGGTCTTTCTCTCTGTTGTTTTCTGGTTCCCTTTGTGCCCCCACTCCCCACCTCCACCCACCCCAGCTAGGCTCATCTTCAGGAAACAGGCCTGGTTTCCATGGTGACCAGCCGGTCAGCTGGCTCCTTCCACCGCCCCCTCCTTCACCCCCCTTTCCTGTAGCTTCCAGGCAAGGGTACTGTGTGTGAATGGAGAAGGCAGGGGTAGCCTTTTGTCTCTTTGGAGCTCTAGGGCTGGCCAAAAGAGCTAAACTGTCCCTCCTCCAAAGCCCTTTGAAGTGGAGACAGAAAGGCAGTGGGGGTGAGTGTCAAGAGGAAGATTATAGTGCCTAAATGGGGAGCACGAGAGGATCCTCTGTAGGTTTGGAAAGGCCAAGGTTAGGGGCTCTGCTCTCTGTGGGCAGTGAGGACTGAATTGCGTGGAAGGGGCTGAAACTGGAACAAGAAGGGCTGGAGTTAGCTGTGAGGCCAGCTTCCCAAAAAGCATGGGCGGGAGATGCTGGAATGAGTCACCAAGTGAGATTCTGCCTCTGCCAAGGGAGTGAACAAGACCCCCGCCTCTTCTGGACAGCCGCCTTCCTCTGGGCAGGGAGAATGGGCCCATCAACCTGGAGAGGGCCATGCAGGCTGGATAGCTCTAAGCAATAGGTGGACAGAGAGCCACCTTCACCTGCCTGGAAAGGGAAGAGTACTAAAACGAAGACAGGGCCAGGAGTGTACTAGAGGGGTGGGAACAGTGGCTGTTCCCAATAAGGGGAAGGAACATCCTGGGCAGATCAGTGTGCTTGTACCCTATCCCCCAAAATCAGACATCAAGGCTTTGCCTCAAACTAACTTCCTACCCACAAATATTCCCCATAGACTTTTGAGTGGGAAAGATCTGAATTCTAGGACTAGCTCTGTGAGTGCTAGCAGGTGACCTTGAGTAAGCCATTCACTCTCCCTCTGCCTTGGTTCCCTATGAGTAATTGGCGAGAACAGTTACTGTATGTCAAAGACTCTAATGACACATAGTAGGATTCCACAGTAACTGTGTATGCACAAGATTGATCATGCATGGCTTTTATTACATCCTTCATAATGGTTGGTTTTCGTGTTCTTTTCTCCCCATTAGACTTTCTGCTCCTTGAGGGAAGGAAACTGTGTTTCACTTCTGTACTGGTTATACAATAGGTACCCAACACCTGTTTACTGAATGGAGACATCCAGGAATGAATGAATGAATAAATGTCAGGGTCCTTCCTGCTGTGCCAGGGAATGCAGGCAAGAGCAGTGTGGGATGGCCTGAAAACATAGCCTGCTTGCAATGGCTCAGCCTGGCCTGCTTCCTACACCCACAAGTCGGAGCCTTAGAAATTGTCCAGTCAAATTCCTCACTGCACAGATGAAGAAATTAAGGCTCAGAGAGAGGAAGGCACTTGCCCAAGGTCACATAACTCCTTAATGACAGAGACAGGATTGAGAATTAGAACTCAGGTTTCCTGCCCTCCAGCGTAGGGCATTGCACACACTTCACTGCTTCTCTGGAGCTGCTCTTTTAGGGAAGGAAGATGGTTCAGTGAAGGCCGGTTCCAATGTCCTCCCTCTGCCCTCTGTTAGTCCTTTCCCACCTCTAGCTTCAGTCTCTTCCCTTTCACCCTATTCCATTCCTCTGGAAGTCTAGCTTCTGCTTTAACCCTTCACCATGCAACTGGGAGTAAGGATCTTCCCTAGGGTTTCAAGGATCAAGTTCCTCTCCCCACTCCTGTGCCCCAGGAACTTGGGGGAACCAGAGATGTGTGCGTGTGTGGCGGGGTGCTGTTAGTTGAACCTCGGGGACCCAGTCCACGGAGAACAGATGGAGAGGAGTTGCGGCATAGATTCTCCCAAGATGGGAGTGCGGGAGGGAGGTGCAGTGAGCAGGGCTGGGAGCGGGGAAGGGGTGTGGGGAGTCCCTGTTGCTTTACCCCTTCGGGGGGTGGTTATTAGGTAGGCTTGGGAAGGCGGAGTTTGGGGGGCTGGGGGCGGGGCTCGGCTGCGC